TGACCTCTCAAAACCTGCAATCATCCTCCGAGCTGCAAACTTTGAGAGCCCTAAAACACGGCCATTGGGGAAGTAGGCAATGTTGGCAGTTCCATAAAAGGGCAGCAAGTGGTGCTCGCACATCCTCACATCCGGGCCGTGGTGGACGGGACACCAGAAGCATCACCCAACATCGTGCGAAATACGCGTGGCTTTCAGGGATCGGTGGACGTGAACATGAGGTGGAGTGGATCTTCTCCATTTTGGAGCGCCTGCACTATCCTCATCTGTCCTGCACTGGTAACCTGGTAGATACTTAAAAGCCAATCACACCCTTCATAAATCGTATTAAATCGTCATCATCCTGAAAGCTCCAAATGCCACATGTCACCGATGTCACATGCGGATTGCCACCGGGTCACGGGGCCCCAAAACAGGTCTACCGGAGTCTACCTCTGACATCCTCCTGCCCCCCCTTAAAAAAGGGTGGCGTAAACGAACAAAAACGTCATCGCACCCTGCGAGGCTCGAGAAGAAGGGGATGCCCCGGACAGCCACCAGATCTTGTGCACCGTCCACTTCGAAGATCGCCTCCCGCGCCACGCTCAAAGGATCTGCCACGCGCAAACCCAACGTCATCTCCCGGAAGGCCTTTCGGAGAGAGAGACGGTGGCCAGGGGGGGCAAAAGCACGAACGAGAGAGAGACGGCCGCCAACCTGCCCCAAAAAGAAACACACATGGGGTTGGAAACCTAAAGAGCCAAGGAAAACATGTATGAAGCTCATACAAACTAGCGTTGGAAAATCATGGGAAATCTATAAAGGAACCATACATAACCATACACAGTTCCAGGCTCACTCCTCATCGCTCCTGTTCACCGCGCCTTCGCCGCCCGTTTGGGCGTCTTCAAGAGCTGCGGGCGCCCAGATTCCAGAGGCCCCAGAGTCGATAGGAGCCGTCGGAAGGCCTCCTCTCCCACATCCTCCGGGTCTCCCAAGTCCGGCTCTGCTTCGGCAGGCTCCGCCGGTTCAACTGCAGGCATGGCTGGCTCGGCACTCACGGGCATCACCTGCAGCCAGCGATGAAGCTGGAAGAAGACGACCAATAGGCGTTGGGTGAAGGTGAGCTGGGAGGCTCCACGGAAGGCGTAAGAGGATGTGGCCCATCGTAGCCACGTGGTAGTGATCGTCTGCAGATCTTGATGGACCAGGTTGCAGGACAAAATAGTAGATGCATGAAAAAACATGGTAGATAACAGGAAAACGGCCTACAAGAACCACAAAGGTAACACCTGTTTTCCGAATGAGCCATTTGGCATGGTCCTTATGAAACAACAAACAATGAAGGAATGCCACACCACACCAACGTGGATCTCTTGTTGGACCTGTTCATTCCATCCCTTGTGCAAGCAGCGAGCTGGCTCTTATATAATGAGTATAGAAATAGTTCCTTTGGGAAGGTTCACCCCCAAATGTCCAAAGGTGATAAGGAGTTTATACTCGGAGAAAACCCCTCCCATCTGTCGCCCAAACTTGCGGGGCAATATGATTTGTCTTACATATATATATATAAATATATAGCCCAAGGGCACTTTGGAAAGTCGTCCTTTACCACAGGGATCCTAAGGGTTATTATGTTGGTTTGGTCCAGTGCACGCGAAGCCTCAGAACTCTTGGTTCAAATCCATAGAATATAATGTTAAAATCATCTTCGGTATCTGAGCCGAGAAATTCTGAGGTAGGTGTTCTTGCCAGTTTCGGTCAGGCAAAGAAGCTCAGCTCAGGCACGCATGGGCGTGGAATGCGTTTTTCGCGGCACGCATGGCTCACCATAGTGAGCTGCTCCTTCTGCGCACCTCACATCCGACATGATTCGGACACCTAGGCCCTAGGCCTCTGCATTAATTTTAGGCATCTATAAGTATAAGCGATATAATATAGGATGCTATAGGCCATATATTTCATTTGCTGCCCGAAAATGGCGTCAACGGATTGGTATTTCAATGGGTTTCGTCTCATCATTCCCTATCGATCATCACCGTCATCATCCCCAAGCTTAGCCAAAAACATAGGCCAACAAAAATCAACGCACAAACTCCTTGCGCAACTCCACCCAAATCACATTGAACAAGAAAAGCGACCAAAAGCATCCAAAAGCACCGACGGCTTACGTTGGAAGCTTCACGCCGATCTCTCGCCCAATTGACATCCCGTCATGGACACGCCGAGCGGCTCAGGTAGGTGGTCGAACAACCCGCTTGCCCCGGCCGCTCGGAGACCTGAATTTCCAACCACTCGCAGCATCTCTTCGACAGCGAAGGGCCCAACTCTTTGATCACCTCCTGAACGATGTAATCAGCCAGCTCCTCAGCGGTGGTGTGCACCACTGGCAGCAGCACGCAGTCCTGACTGCAGCGCATCTGACGAACGGGCGGATGTTCGGTTAGACGGCACGGTAAGCCATGGTCCGCCCAAGGTAGGCCAATGACTATGAATGAATGAATGTGAACTGTTGACATCTGTTGACCTCTCTATCACTGGCCCTGGCACTGTGAAATCACCGACTGCAAGCACAAAGGTAACGATCGCTGGAACGGACTTTCAAGAACAACACAACAAAAACACGGATCAGTTAAAGGACATACTGTATATAACTGTATATATGTCTGAACTTCTTTCAGGGACTCTTGCCCGTCCTGCAAGGGCAAAACCATCTTGCTGCCATCCTGGCAGTGGATTTGGACACCAAACGCCTCCTCCTCACCTCGCATCGTCTCGAGCCGCACCACGTCGCTCTTGGCGGGGAGCAACGTGCGCTGGTTCAGCGGCCGGACGATTTGTCGGATCACCTGGCGGCCGGACCCGGTGTCCGTCCGCGGCGGAGTGGCAGGACACGGTGACCGGCGGGTGGCGTGTGGACCGAAGTTGCACACGGACCGGACGACGTGGATGTCCTGGCATGGACGACCTGCATTTGTTGTTGTTTTTTGCAGAGTGCAATTGTTGAAGAAAAACTTTCGAAAGGCGGACATGAAAACTATATGTATATATATAATATAGTATTTTATTATACTATATATATTTTATATATTTTTATATACACTGTACTGTATACAACTGATTGCAATTGCTAACCGTCTGTCTCCTTGTTTTTTTTTGCAAATGGGAGAGGTTCCACATGTCCTTGCTATCTGCGGAGAGGCTGTTCCTTGCTATCCGCTTTTGAGGACCCATATAATATAAGCTGTGCAGCACACCTGAGCTCCTTGAGGCTTCAAACCTCTTGGTACGAAACAAACAGAAAAACGTACACTCCCTGCAACTCACATGGCAGAATGGCTCCTTGGAAGACCAGGTGGTTTTCCACTACAAACAGGGAGCCAACGTTTTCCACTTCCATGTGAGTTCCAGGGTGCTGTAAGAAACACCGTTGCACCGTTTGTTAGCACCAGCAATTCGTCCCTTGACGGGGCACACCATCTAGAACCGAATCTCTCCTAGAGTAGTGCTGGGGGCCCGCTCTCTCAGCGGCGTAGTGCTGGGCCCACCTTCTTCACATCTCCAAAATCCATCACATAGCCATCGTCCTGTAGTGCTTGGCACCCAATCCGACAGCCCACCGAATAGTTGTGCCCATGCAAGGGCTCTCGGTAGCCTTCCTGAGCACGCCAGCGGCTCCGCGTTCTTTTGGTTTGGGTGGCACACTTGCAGTTGTTGGGCCTCCACTGGCTGAACAAAGTAAACCAGCTCAGCGTTTTGACAAAGAATCAGTGGCAGGAGATACTGTCCGTGCAGAATTCTTCCTGCAGACTGAAGAAAAAAAACAGTCTTCAGACTGATTGTTTCCACTTTCAGGGGGTGCAAAGGTTCTCACTTCGCCTGGATGGGCCCACGGTTTTCCTGATCATCTCATGCTGTGAGCACGGCTCACAGGCATACCCGGCCGTGGGTCAAAAGCTACGAAGTGCGCCGCGGAGAACTTGATGTCCTACGGCGCCAAGTTGCAGGCAAAATGACCACCCTAAGAATCCGGGCCCTCAAACAAGTAGGGTTTTGAGGGCCGGACCCCTGCTATGGAGGGCTCAAGGATTCTTAGGGCACACCAATACTGTAGGGGGAACTCGTGATGATCAACGCTCCCTCCACCGACCACATGTGCTGTGGGCATGAGAACATGCATCGCCCCAAGCAAAAGACGATGGAATCATGCTTAAGCAGGAGATTCTTCTATTTGTTGGAGAGACGTGGAAGCTCACCCATCCAAAACCGCGGATGTTGCAGCAAACTTTTGGACGTTCCATTCCTCTGACTGGGACAATGGAATCATCCGGAATATGGAGGAATCATTCTTCAAAATCATCCAAACTGACAGATGAACATAGAAAACTAATCAATCCAAAAAATCATCCTCATCCTCATCCAAATTGAATCCTCTCCATCACCCAACCATCCGAACGCATCGTCTCAGCATCGTCTCAGCATCCCTCGCCTCCCATCCGACGCCCCACCTCTCCACCCGGCGATCCCACCTGAAGCTCCAGGGCGATCTGCCATCGGCTCCGCCGGTGCGGCGCCATGGCGAGCTGCGAGGCCCGCCCGGAGCCGGCCCGCCCACCTTTGAGCCACGAAGCAGGTGTGGTTCGGGATCCACTCGGTTCGCTCCTCAGTTCGTACCTAGGAACATGGGTAACTACAATGGTACCCTTTGCTCTCTGACTCTCCATGGTTCCGGTTTTCGCACTTCTACTCACTTCTACCAATTTGCGGCGAGGTGATCAGTATTTGATCATGCGGCCTGGTTGTGCACAGCGTGGGGTGACCTATACTCAATCTTCCCAACAAAATTATGTTGTTGTCCTGATGTCCCCTGGTATGAATGTCTGCCATGTCAATCCGGCAAGGTTTTCTGCAATCGTCCTGCCATGAGGTTGTTGGAAGGTTTGACTAGATTGAGTTGCCTTGATGTTATGTAGGTTTGTGGGGTTCAGCTACTGCAGCAACTTGAGGCAAGTCTGTTGCTCCTGTCATCTACTTCCCGTCGCATGTGAGCTTGAGGCGGAGCTCCATTGCTGCCCAAGCAGAAAGACGCCCAGCTGCCCACAAACCAAACCTCGGATGACATGAACAGGTTTGCTCGGTGGATCCAGCCTGGCATCTGACCATGTCTAAAATGACCCTGCAGTTCGATATCACCCCATGACACCTGTTTGAGGTTGCACTTCCGCAGCCACCTGTGTCCTGTGTACACCCAAGAAAGGGGCACACTCTCCGGAAAGAAAAAAAACAGATTGGTGATGATTGGTGTGGAAAACAATTGAGCAACAGTTCTAGACTCTAGACCATGGGGGGGAATGGCCCCAGGGTGATGAACATCCTTGTGCACTGCGTGCCGTACCTTATTCCAACCAGTGCCCTCTAGCTTCGGCCCGCAACCACAATTGGCTGCCGTTGATGCACATGAAAGACTTAATTGTCATGTGACATGTATATTGTATACACATGTATGTAGACAATTGTAGACACATGTGCCCGCAGCTTTGTTATTGGCCCACATCTGCGTGCTCGCTCCCCGTTGCACGATCATCGCAAGAGCCGTAAAATGCCGTCCCGTCACCAAAGGTCAGCGCACCGAAGGTCGTATAGCCCAAGAACCGCCCCACGAAGCGCGCGCGAGCGGGCACAGAGATGCCCGAGGCCTGGACCAACTCGGAGAAGCCTGCAGGGATGGAGGTTTTGGATGGTTTTTTGTGTGGGGAGGGGGAGCTTCTGCACGAATCCATTGGGAGACATGGTTTCAGGGGCCCCATGGCTAGTTTTGCATCTGGCGGTCTCGTATGTTGTGCTATGTTGTGCTGCTGGGATTGGCATTTCGAAAGACACCTCATGAATCATGGCCTGCCCTGCATCTGTTCTTCGTATTTTGGTGAGGACTTTCTTGGGTTGGCCCACTGTTGAGCGGAGCGCCTTCCACCATGGCGATGGGTCGATGGGTTGGGTTCGCGCCCACACGTGAGCAGGTGGCCGGAGTGTGGGCTACAGCAGCTCGTAGTTGGCAAACATCTCTTCTGATGGAGATCCAATTTCTTTGTCTCTTGAATCCCTCAAGAACGTAGCTTCTGCCATCCACAGGTTGATGCAGTTTGCCATTACAACATGTGCATTCGCATGCATTCACTCTTTCTGACTTGGTGAGAAGGCCTATGAATACAAATGTCAATGATTGTGGTTGCACAAAGCATGTCATAGAGGTGATCTCTGGTGACTTCATGTGACATCTACATGTCCGCCAGTGATCTCTGGTGACACCTCTTCAATCTGTTTTTCGAAGCGAAATGCCTGGAGCCAAATCTGGTCATGATCACTTGCCAGTCCCCCTGGCCCTCCTGCGCCGGTCGCGGCAAACCTTCGGTGTCAGCGAAGGACCGAGCGCAACGATGAAGGTGACCTTCCCCACTGCATGAGGTCAGTTCCGCATGAGTCAGGGGACGGATGTTTTGGTCTGATGTCTTGGACAAAAATCACCTCTGCAACATCCAGGTAGACACTCCCTGGAAAAGGCATGGCAATGGAAATGGTCCCTTGGATGAGCATGACATTCTCTATGAACAGGTGGTTCCAAGGTTGTTACGGGGAGTGTAGTAGACCGAGAGAAGTCACTGTTCTTCACGACTTGCCTGTGGAAACGCCCGAGCTTCGTTTGTCACAGAATTTCCCGGATGTTCTGCAGCCTCTTCACTCCACAGGTGTGGAAGCATGGTCAAATAAGTTTGACCACGTGTTTTGAAGGGCCCTCTTCCCTCTCTTTTGTTCAAATCTTTCCACATCACTGACCAAGGTCACCCCTGGAAGTCTATATCTGGCTCACACTCTGATCTAACATGTAAGTTCGTGGTTTAAAGGGTTCAGGAACACCCTCACTTGCTCATACCAAGCCAGGGGCCTTTTCCGCCCCCACATCGCATGGGTGTCTCTTCGTGTCTCGGAGCGCCACGAAGGCTCTGTGGACCGGTGATGGTCGGCGCCAGGCTCGCCACTCCTTGGCCACTTGAGCTGCCAATGACCGTGGCTCCATGTCACGAAGAACTGCGCACAGCTCCACGGGCAGGTGGCCTCAGTCGGGTGGTGAGGTCTGAGACCAGGTTGATGTTGACTCCAAGTCCGAATAGCCTACACACAATGAGATGTACTAATATCTATAAATTTATAGTTAAGTAAGACATATAACATATAATTCATAAGGTAAAGTAACCTCTATATATAATTATATAGACTGTAGATCACATCTTCTACAACCGGGAATCGAACATCACATCATTCTTTGTCTGCATGCATCATGTTGTTCCCTTTGGGAATGGATTGATGCGAGCGGTTCACATCATGGCCATGTTCAAGTAGCCATGTACTATTTCAAAGACCTTCTGGAATCAAAGATCGTGCAGTCATATATACCTTTTGACGTTTAATTTACATGATGGAGGTACCTTTGAACCCGGTTTCACAGGTTGCCCTCGCCGAGAGGGTCAGTAATGTCGCCAGGCCTCCCAGCAGACCTGAGCCAAGGCCTCTCCTCTGCTTTTCAAGGTCAGGCCTCAGTAGAATGAAGCTTTCCTTGCGCGACGCGACGGGCTCGGCCTGCTTGGTATGGTCCAAGAAGTGTGCTTTCCACTCACCCCCAAACACCGGGTATACTTGGAATGTCGCAAGCTTCATAAGCTCTTCTCAGTGACCTCTGGAGGTGCTATTCCAGCAATCTGTTCCTCAAAACCGTATGCCCTGTTGCTTTGGAAAAGGGCTTTAGTTTCGGGAACTTCTGCATCTCAAAGAGTTCCCGGGGAAAACGATTCCCCACTTCCCCTCCCAAGCAGGTGCCTTCCATTCAGGGTATTTCGGGGATTTTCGGCGACCAATCCCTCCACGACTCCTTCTGCGGCTCCCCTTTTTTCGGGCTCCTTGAGGCCGTCGCGGAGGTGCACCCGAACCTCCTGGACCTTTCAGGTGGGAAGTTAGGGAGGACCCGAAGTGAGGCACTGCCAGCCAACACCTTTCCGATATGTGTTTACTTCTTAATGACTCAAAGGTCTACATCATTGGCTTGGTGACCAGATCTTTCTCCAAAGAAAAGCATGGTTGGGGTGTGTCTATGTTGTTTTTCTTCACATGCCTCCTCCTAGCCTTTCGTGGTGCAGACCACTTCAGAATGAAGGTATGCCGTGCCTCATGAACTGTCCTGACATCAAATGGGATATGCACATTTGGCACATCGAAGAAAATTCCGTCAGGCCACGATAGTCATTCTGCCATTGTTCCAAGATTCAGCCAGTGCATAGCGGTAGGCGGTAGACTAGGATTTATAGGGCAACAGCTTTCCGATGTTCTACGGGCATCCCACTATGAAGCCTAGAAAAAACTGCATGAAATTAAATGCCAATAGCTACCCAGAACCTCACAAAATATACTCAGAATTAAAAGGTCTTCACCATCCTTTAGGGCACCAGTTCGCTCACTATTGCTCACGACAATCTCACCGGTTGGCGAAGGAAGAGGCCGAGTAGGACAGCAAAGCAATCCACAGGAACCTTGGGTGATGCCGAGTGAGCTTGCAAATCAGTTGGCTGTTGGTCAAAACCAGGACACTTTGGTTAACCTACCTGAAAGGTCAAGTTACATGGTGTACCAGGGCTCGAGGTTTTAACTCATCTTCAGTTTGCGCTTTTTGTCCAAAATGGTGCCGATCACCATAGAATTTCGAGCGGTAGCCAAATCCTCTAGTATATAGGTAGACCACACCAGGTCGAAGGGCTAAGAATGGCTTAGAGGTGCAGGATCTCAAGCCGTTCTCAATCACCCTAGCTTGTCCACATGCAAAACAGCCATGTTCAGGGTGGTGAGCGACTCGGCGGCCGCGGAGATGGTCCAAACTTTGAGACTTCAACTTTTGTGGGTCCGCAGGCTCCGACGCAGGCTCTTGATTGAAACCTTCCTCTTGATTGATTGAGGGCTATTAAAGGTTCTTTAATCACGAGTCTAACATGACTGGACCGAATCCTTGAAGACATTGTATACCCAAAAAAGAAACTTGTAATATACAATTATTGGAGACATTGTATACATTTATATATATATATATCAGTTACCAAAAACCGCCCTGTGGCTCCCTGGAAGGAACTGGCACGACATCACCTGCGTAAGTCAACACCTGCCTGGGGATGTTTCTCACTCCTCGTCGTGCCGAGTCGGAACGGGCCATGCAGCACCAGGCACTGCGCAAACACACGACCCACCCAAGCAGTGCAGACCCGTATTGAGGACCGTCTGCTTGCAAGGTGTTAAGTTAGGCTCGTTTCGCCAAGAAACAGCACTGCACCAAGTGCGGCTCTATAGTTCCTCATTCGTTGCGCGACAAGAGTCCAGCATGAGGAAGCTTCCTGGTGTTCACGTATAGTCCTGGTGCTCATAAATACATGTGTACATATACATATATATATATAGTGTATGTATTATTAAATGTAGTTTATAACAATATACTATGCAGAACCCGCACAAGAGCCTGTGCGCCCCACTCAGCCCTCGACAATTTTGTAGACTCCCCTATGTGGCCTAGGCTCGACTACTATAATCTGTGCCAAGCTGACAGGTGGCGGTCTATATCAAACCAACAGCACCAAACCTCATTCAGGATGAAAAACCAAAACCTCCACAAGTGATGATGCTCATTATATCTCATTATTGTGGGGAATATACTTCACGCACAAGAAAATAAGCACGTATCACTAGGCAAGCAAAAGCTAGAATTACAGTACGTAAAAATACAACTCCATCGACAGTGCGTCCAAATTAAATCTACTCACTACATGGGCTCTGTTCCGACTCCACCAAGCTTCATGTTGGCGCTTCGCAGGACTAGCCGCGCCACCTGTCGGTTCTGCAGCAGGCGCGCGCCCCAGCGGCCAGCGCTGGAGAGGCCGAGGCCGCGGCGGGGCGAAGAGAGGAAGCGTAAGGCCACCTGCGTGATGAAGAATCCAAACTTTTGGTTCGGGTCCGAACCCCTACTGTGGAGAGTACAGAGTGGGTAAATCTGGAAGAAGTGGATAAGGATCCTGGTCCTTTAGATAGGTAGGGAGCTTTCATTGATCAACAAGCAACATTGGGAGTTCTCTTATTGATGTCCATAGTTGCCTCATAGCAACAAATTATAGCTATTTATGGCTATATATATGGCCATACATATAATATATCTATATGTATATATTGTACTATATTACTGTATATATATATATAATATTATAGCAATTCAGATCATTCAATTCGGGATGCACATTCACCCATGATTCCGATGAACACCAAAAGCAATCTGAATTCCAGGGCGCGGGGAAGGCCGCTTCGAAGATGTCGAAATTGCCTCGCTTGAGCTGTGGAGGGGATGGGAAAGTAAGGTACCAGGATGCATGAGGGGAGCCTCCACTGCGAGGGATCTCGGAAGGTACATGGGCCGTCCAGACCTACAACAAAGTGTCTAGAACCATCCTCTCAAACATTATATGGGTCCTCCGTGGCCGAGATGGGTGGATGTATAACTGGGACCACATACTCTATTTTTCCAACGTAACACTGGGAAACACCCGTCGACTTTTGGGAGGAATGTAACGACTCTTCGATACTCTTCGCATGTAGGTTGTCACTCAGTTGTGTGTAAAGCTCACCCTATGTTGAGCAACCCCCGCCTTCTCACTTGCTGAGCAAACGTTTGCGTGAAAAGTGTTGTTGTTCCACATGTGGAATCATAGTATATCCAATTTCCCAAAAAAAAAGCGTGCCTTTGTATTTTGCATCAGGATGCTTCATCAATCCCATGGGGTGTCCTATTTCAGATGGTCTTTGCGAAGAAATTCTCCAGGTTAACGGTGAACAAGCAGGCTCGGCGCAGGAGCCCAGCCTAACTGAACATATGAACTCCCTTGCTCAACCTTTCTCAATCTATGTTCTAATTGTCATGTCAGTAGGACATAGTCTTCCACAAGGGCAACCTAAAAAGCTCCACGACTGAAACGGTCGCTGTATTTCTTGGAAGGCCTGCGGACATCGTACGTCTCAAGTTTCACAATGACCCCAGCAATATGGAGAGCCTGCACGATCAAAACCAACCGGCTGAAAACTGATGGCAGTTTTCGGTCCTCATTCCTCATTCCCCCCCCAAAAATGTAACCGAGCGGCAGTCTGCTGCCAGCGCAATGCCCTCCAATGTGAGCAGCGCGCGCACGAGGGCCACATAGTAATCAGGCAAGCTAAACTCAAACCGCCGGACCTCAGTCGACTCACTCAGCCAGGTGGAGGGAAGTTGGAGGAAAGTTACACCTGGTGAAAAAAAGGTCTAGAGTCGGTTTGTGACGTGAACAAATTGCCTCATGCGTTTGGTTGAAAAGTTGTGCCTCTTGGCAATGAGAGACACATTTTGTCAACCCAAATGCGTATACCTGGCCCTCTACCCCAATGCATATAACACGAAACAAATTGTCGAATACGATCGGGGTGCTTGTTTCTCAAATCCTCTTTTGCGTGTCCTTACGTCATTGCGCAGTTTTCCCTGGCCCGTCCATACTCTACACAGTGAGTTTGCGCAAACAATGCTTTTGCACCGAGCACACTTTTCATCAGGTGTAAAGCCACTCAGCGAATGAGGAGGAAGTACAAATATCAAAGGTGTACATAGCCCCGTATATGCCACAGAATGTGAAGGACTCCACCGATTGGAAACACCAGCAATCTCACAACTTGATTCATACGCAAAACATGCACTGTTGATCTCCAAAATGATCTTCATCACATACATTTATGTAATATGTAATATGTAATATCAGATAATCATAAGCTCAGCTCAAGCGGTTCTTTTGCATTGTGTGATTTAACATGATTCCACTATCCACTTCACTCCTAGTGTCCATTCCCCTGCTATTTTTAGCTACAGGATCGACCCCCTGGCCGCCCCTCGCGCTGCACCAAAGGGTTCAATTTTTGATAACACACCAAGCGCCATCTGCATGCTGAAGCTATGGATCCAACTGCATCCTCGACCCACCAACCCCCAATATCCCCCAATATTCAAGCATCTTACCTGTACAAAGCTATATAGATTGTCAGATCCCGCACGCCCGGGACAGCTTGCTCCCCAGGATGTCCCACCCAGGTCGGCCTAATGCTTTGGTTCAAGGGTCCAAGGTCAAAATCTCCTGGTAGAGCAACTGCACAGCGCTTTTCCGCTTGTGGATGTCGCTGCCGCACTCCACTAGCTTGGCCCAAATCTTGGACATGACGGGCAAAATCTCGTGGCGAGGGCAGTCCGCTGGGAAAAAGCCGATCCTCAGAGAAAGGATGGAGGTACATGGTGGAATATGTTGAATACCTGACAGCGAACCGGATGGCTGAAATATTGGGAAACATTGTCAAAAACCGCGAACATGAGGTTTCCCCCAAACAAAACAGGAACAACTGGGAGGACACACACACACACACAAATGCACCCCAGCATCATCATCATCATCATCATCATCATGACTATAGATTCCTAAGTAGTGTAGGGTAGTCCAGCCAGAAAGTCCAAACATGATGCTCCCAATCCAGTCGCCAAGACACGATCCCGATCCATGACCGGACCACCAAGCCAAACGAAGAGACAGTCCGTCGCACCCCAGAGATGTGAAAAGGTATACACTCCCTGGACTTAGATCATGGAAGTGGAAAACGGTCCCTTGGATGACCATGAACATCTCTACAAACCAGTAATTGTCCACTTCCATGATGAACCCGCGGAGTGTGTGTATATCACACATCTTTGTACTGCATATGAATCGTGCGTGAGATACTATGAATACTGTAGTAACTATACCCAAAGGTTCCGGTGTGCCACTTTTCACCCCCTCAAAGGAACCTGGGCCTTCCCCGGTCCTCGTGTGCCGTGGTCCGACCAGGCGCTCGATGAGGTCGTCCAGGACAGCACTGTGGTCCTTGCGCACGAGGTCCACCACGCACTGGGCCCAGGCACGGCGATGAGCTTCCGGGACCCGGCAGACCATGCCGAAGTCCAGCAAGCAAATCTCGGCGTCGCCGGTGACCTAAGCCGTCGTCAGATTGTTCTGTGATTTTCTCTGTGTGTCAGGGTGTTTTTTTCTGTTATTTTTTTGGGGGGGAGTTGACGAGGTGCTTTGGGAAGGAGATGGAGAGCAACAAACACTGTTTGACGGCTGGTGACTTGGAAGCAGTCTAAGTGGAGAAGATACTGAGTAGAAACAAAAACAAAACAATCTCCCTTCAAAGAAGAACCCCCCTCCGGAAAATCAAGTGCTTGCAGCAGCCAGCAGGATAGACTTGATAAATGCCGATCAGCCATGATGAGCTATAAGATGCTATGAGTTCTTAAAGTTAATCCACAAAGTGAAAATAAACACCCCCCAAAGTAGTGCGTCATATCCACCCTGTGGGTGCCAATAGATCCCACCAACAAGTTGAAAAGAGATGAAGAAAGTATACCTGCAAATCCTGTATATTATAGATATTATCCTTTGATTTCTGCTTCCATCCAACACAACGCAACACGACAGCACATAGGACTTTCATGATTCCCCCAGCAAGTTTCATGAAACAGAAATCCCCCCTTGCGGCGATGTCTGGCTATGGTCACCTCAGCTGAGACCCATCAATCAAAACTCTGTACCCTGCAGGTGGTCCCTGAAAGTCGGCGTAGGGGTTTTGGGCCCCTTTATTCGGAAGGCTGGCATAAATAGAACAATGACTAGATCCCTGGCATTCCGCACGCTCATGATTATTCCTTGTGAATGAGTAGCATATGGTATTCCATGGACTATTCCATGGCATTCCGCACACAAGGACATGAGTCTGACACAGTTGCGATGAAGTTCCCAGGGTGCGGATCAGCATGGACCACCCCCACATCCAGGATCATGGCCTGGTACTTCTTGGACGGGTCATCGAGTCGTCGACAATCATCGAGTCACAAGTCACAACGAACTGCCATATAGTGGTCCCCAAATAAGCCCAAATAGATACACCGGCCCGCAGAAGTCAAAGCAATTTCAGAAACCACGCCAGTTCCACATGAGACGCCGCGCATTCAGGAAGTCAAACAAGTCAATGCAAAAACATGTAGATCACCATCAGGACGCAGCGATAAAACTATGTTTGTTTCTATCGTTTAATCTTACTTGAACATGTTTGTTTCTATCGTTTAATCTTACTTGAACGCCTCAGAAAACTGTATTCCAGCATGTGGGCGCACATCCAACTATGATCAGGAAACAAAGGAAATGGCATGTTTCTTGACTGAGTTCACCATGGGACGCCGTATGATCCACTCCACCAAAGTGACGGTTCCCCAAAGCACTGATACTAATCCATGTGCATGCTCCAGTGGCTTCGTGATGGTTGTGGTTTGATCATTGGCTGACTTGAGCATGTGTCTTGAATCCCTACATAACCACAGCAACCAACTCTGTCGAGGATTTGTGGCAGCAGCCTGATTCAGGATTCCTTGCCGCGGCCTGATTCAGGATTTCTCGCTGCGGCCTGATTCAGGATTCCTCGCCGCAACCTCACCAGAAACTGAATGATCTAAATCAGGCTGCGGCAAGGAATCCTGAATCAGCTGCTGCTGCTGCTGCTGGTGCTGTGGTAAAATAGGGATTCAAGACACATGCTCAAGTAAGCAAATGGTCAAGCCACGGCCATCAAATGGATTTTGCAATATTCCCTTTCCTATGCAGCTGCCTTCGATGGCTGAGCCATGTACTGCAAAGACCTGTGCTTGCCATATATAGGTCTGCAGCCATTGGAGAGCAGGAAACGAAGGGGTGGCTTGGACGAGGTACCGGACGAGGTACCAAAGTACATCCGCCACAGCTCCGCCACGACATGTCTCCACTCTTTTGATGCAGCCAAGCAGCAGCCAAAGACAAGCAGCAGCAGCCAAGCAGCAGCCAAGCAGCAGCAGCAGACAAGAAGCAGCAGACAAGAAGCAGCAGAGAAGCAGCAGCAGACAAGCAGCAGCAACAGACAAGCAGCAGCAGCAGCAACAAACAAGCAGCAGCAGCAGCAGCAGCCGTAGCGGACAAGCAGCAAACAAGCAGCAGCCAGGCAGCAGCAG